AGTTCATCTTTTCTGATGTAATCTGATAGAAAAAGTTTAATTGTGTTCTTGATGATTTTACTTGTATTCCCCCCTTAAAACTTAAGAAAAACATGTAAATGTAGGGGTATGAACTCACCCTATGTGGTTTCAGTAGATGAAAGTAAGAGAGAGGAAGTGTTCAACCCAAGAACACTAAGAAGATGTCTTGATGATTCGAGAATCTAACACCGAATAAGATGAATTTGTGTAAGATATCAATGATTTGAGTAGAATGGAGTGTAATAATTATATGAATGATGAAGATACTTACTAATTGAAGAAAGAAATCCCTGGATAAAGCCTTGAAGTTCTTGAAGTTGAGAGAAAATATGAGAGAATTTTGGAGAGTGTTCTTTGGTTGCTAAGTGTAGAATGAAAGAAGTTAATGAGAATGAGGAGAGATGACCAATTCTCCAGCTCTTAGAACGTGGGAAGAGCTGGAGATTGGGTGTAAAGGTCCACTAAGGTGACAAGGGGTAGTGGGAAAGAGTGGCTAATCATAGAGTGAGGTGGTGGTGGTTTGCTTTTGCCATAAATTAAGGAAAAGCAAATATTCCCTCAATAATTAGTTCAACCACTAATTCTTTTAATATATTTTTATAAAAACCCTGGAGATTTATATATTTTAGGGCCTTAGTTTATAAAATAAAGTTTTGGGTGAAAATCCCACGTTAAAATAATGAAAAACGGAGTTAAAACGAAGTCGTAGTCGAAAAACCGGTAAAAAGGGGCCGTCTGCGAGACCTCTCGGATGGGGGCCGAGACTTCGGACCCTCGCATGCGAGGCTGCTGTCTGATGGCTTCGGATTCGGTCTCCTGAGAGGCTTCAGCTTCGGTCCTGATGAGAGGCTTCGGATCCGAGGCCTCGGATGAGAGGCTTCGGTCCTGAAGTTTCCGTTTTGGGTCCTTAAGGCTATTTTACCCATTTTTACCCCGTTTCAAGTGGTTTTTGACCCGGTTAAGGGTCGGGATGACCCGAATGATTCCAAAAAGTTATGGGAACTTTTAAGAGAGATTTGGGAGAGATTTCAAATAGAAAGAGATAGAGTGAAAACGATTTAGAGAGGTTTCGTTTGTGATTAATTTGAGTGTCCGACTTCATAACGCAAGGTTCGTAAACCCCGTTAAACCGTGTTTTAGTGTCGTACACACTCCCGATGAGTGTGCAATAATGTTTTATCGTTTTGGTTCGTTGTTTAGTACTGTTAAGGCTAAGGAAAATCAAACACATGAACTTTCCAAATGATGATTTCTCATTAAAATAGTGAATTGTATAGTGATTACATAACGTAAACCCTAACATACAAGGGTTATTGGAGTTGACCGGTTTGACTTGTTGACTTTGTTTGACTTTGACTTGACCGAAATTTGACGGTTGTCACAACCTATGTGTGACCAAATATGTAGTCAAGAATGGGTATGATTTATGGTATGATAAAAGTGATCATCAAATCTTACTAGTAAAATGTTGTAAAGGTAAGAAGAAGAAGATAAATAAAGGTTGTCCCTTTAGGTTGTTGGCAACCTGGATGACCACTGAAAAGTCATTCCAGATTAAGTCTTTAATTAATAGCAATAATTTCTCAAGAGTCTTCAAATTTGGCTCCATTTTTACCTATAAATGGATAGGAAATCATTTCATGAATAAGATACTTCAGAAACCAAAAGATGAGTATAAGGAAATTGAAAGTTAAAGTCAACAAGAAGTTTAATTTGATTGCAAGTGTTGGACAATGCAAAAATGTTAGGAAGTATGCATTTTAGGAGATAGAGGGTACTTTAATAGAACATTATGTCAAAACATGGTGATGTAAAGAAGAGCTAAAAAGGACTAACCCTAGATCAACAGTCAAGATGGATGTAGATGTCATGAATGATGGAACCACTCACTTCTCAAAGTTCTGTATATGTTTAAAGGGTTTGAATGATGGATGGATTGGAGGTTTTAGGAGGGTAATTGGACCAAATGGTTGTTTCTTTCTTAAAAGGCATATGCAGAGGTCATTTGCTTGCAACTGTAGGTAGGGATGCAAACAACCATATCTATCATATTGTTTGGGTTTTGGTTGTAGTGGAAAATAAAGAAACATGGAAGTGGTTTATTGACCTTTTTATTGATGACATTGGAATGAGACTTATGCATGGACTAACCCTAATATCATACCAACACAAAGTAGTAAATTTATGTTTTTTTCTCTTTGTAATACTTAATTTATTTCATCTTATGTTTTGTGTCTAATACTATCAGGGATTACTAAAGGCTATGAAAGAAAGGGTTCCATCAGTAGAGCTTAGACAATGTTTTAGGGACATCTATGCTAACTTCATGAAAAGATTTAAGGGTCAACAGTTTAGGAAGGTTCTTTGGTATGCTGATGCATCTACTACCCAAGCAAAATTTAAGCAGCATGTGAATGAAATCAACAAACTATAACCACTAGCTTATGATCACATGATGGAAAGGGACCCTAAAACTTGGAGTAAAGCATTCTTTCATATTGATAGGGCTTGTGATGCTTATGAAAATGGTGGATCTGAGAGTTTTAAATCAGTCATTGAAGCTGTCGGGGAGAGACCACTCATCACCATGTTAGAAGAAATTCAAATTTTGTGATGGGAAGGTTTTGTATCCAGAAGAGTAGGGGGATTTATGTGATGACACCTGATAGTGAAAAACAATCGTTTGAAGTTGATTTTGAAGAGGATAATCAAGAAGAACATGAAGTGCAAGATTAATTTGTAGAGGAATCGCCAGGACAATTTGAAGTGCAAGCTGAATTTGAAGTTCAAATACAATATGAAGTGCAAGATTAAGTTGAAGTTTAAGTACAAGATGAGGTTGAATTTCAAGTGCAAAATGAAGTTCAAGTATAACCTGAATTTGAAGTTCAAGTATAACCTGAAGTTGAAGTTCAAGTTGAAGAGGATATGTAAGCTCAAGTTGAAGAGGATGTTCAAGGACAAGCTGGAGTTCAAGATCAAGTGGAAGAGGATGTTTAAGGACAGGTTGCGGTTCAAGATTAAGTGGAAGAGGTTATGCAATAAGTACCAACATTTCAATTTCAAGTGGGATGAGGGACAAGGAAAACTTCAAAAAAAATTACAAAAATTAACCTAAGTAAGAAGTGGGAGGGGAAACAGGGGAGCAGTGGTGAACACCCATATGTGTTGGAATAGCTTTTGGTATCTTTGACTTGTAATAACTTTTGGCATCTTTAACTCTTGTTAATGTTTAGGCATCTTTGACTGAGAATCTTGTGTCATGTTCCCTATGTGATGTTAGTTGAAACATATTTTGTAATCAAGTGTGATGTTTAACAACTTTTGGCACGTCTTTTGTAATAAATGTTCCATGTAATCTTTTACCATCTTTTGTAATACCACTTGTAATGTGTAGAACAATTCCAATGTTTTTTTAAATGCCATTCCAATGTTTTTTACAATTCCATTCTAATGTTTTTTACAATTCCATTCCAATTTTTGATTACATTCAAAACAACAAGTAACCATTTCTTTTCCAAACAATCAAGTAACTATTTTTTTTCCAATACATCAAAACATCAAATAACTATTTTTCCTGAAACATCAATTTCATTCCAATGTTTCATTACATTCAATACATCATGAAGTACATCATTTAGTCATAATACATAAAAAAATGATACAAAACATATCAAACCTTCAAAACAACATTTTACATACAATAAAATAACACAATTAATGCAACTTTATGAGTAAACAACTTCCAATTGACTTTGTCCAGTTCTTGTCTAAAACCCAAATTGATGTTCTTCTCTTGTTCGATCTCCATCTTGCATATACTGATTTCATTCTCCAAGGTACAAAGTTTCAAGCTGAGATTCCAGTATTCTTCTGATTTCATCCTTCTTCCATCTGTCCTCCTTTCATCCTCATCTAGCCATTTCCAAAATTTACAACTTGGACTTTTTCCATTCGTCAAGAAAAATTTAAAAAAGGTTAAATTGAAGGATGAAAAAGAAGAAGTTAACAAAAATTCATAAAAAAATGATTTACCAGTGAGTTTTGACAAAATCTAATTTTTCTTCCAGGATTGTCGGGGGTCCTTGAAATCTTCACACAAGATGGTTGTTTGCAATCACATGGATGATCAGCTTGAAATTTGTCATGTCGTTTGAAAGAAAAAGATGGGGAAGAAGAAGTCACCGATCGATCTAGGGCTTGATTAATGAGCAGTTGTCATATCCTACCCTTCTTATATTGTACTCAACAACTCATATGTACAATTCCACGTAGATGCAACGTATTTCAATGTATATGACAGGTAGATGCCACATCAGCCAAAACAAATGATAGGTGGTAATAATGATCACTTATGAACATGGTTCTAAAAAAAGCGTCATGGCTCGCCTTAAGGCGTACCATGGTGTAGCCATTACGAAAACGTCAAAAACGAATTTGTTAAGCGTGACACCCAACTAATGTGTCAAGGTGCGCATTATCGCATTATGATGCGAGTTCCTTCAAGGTGAGAGAGTTTTTATTTTTTTATTTTTTATCGGACCTAAAATAATTGAGTGTTTGTTAATTTTTTTATATTAAATATTAAATAAATTTCAATAATTATATAATTTATCTATTTTAATGTATATAAAATAGTCACGTCTTGAAAAACGTTATGGCTCGTCAAGGCTTGTCATGACTTAATTTTGACTTTGCCGTCAAGACACGTTTCACGTTATTTAAAACCTTGCTTATGAACAACTAAAACAATTTACTTAGGCTAAATATATACCAAAAAAAGAAAAAAAAAGAAATTTACCTATATGGAAAATACCAAAAATATAGTTAGCAATTTCCCTTATCCAAAAGCTAATTTATCACGATTTTATTTTGATCTCCCCTATTTACATTCCACTATATTTACAGACAAGGACATAAACTTATGATTATTCTCAATGTAGCCCCTTCACGTTTCTCAAACTTTACTTTGCGCGTCACCACTACTAAAATAACCAAGAAACACCCATAAGACACAAACGGATAGACCCCTCCCCTCTCCTTCTTTCTCTCTCACACTCACATACAGAATCAAGTTCAAGAGCTTATCGGCTACAGCTGATGAGTTTGTTTCCGTTTTCTTGAAAAATGGAGAGTCTCTCTCTCACCACCACAACCACTACCACCGATGCTTCGAAATTTAGATTTCTGATCCCTTGTTATAAAAATCCCAGAATTTACAGAAATCTTCCTTTTCATCACAAACGACATAGAAGATTTGCACTTTGTGCTGCTAAGGATGAAGATAAATTCGACAGTTGGGACCAAATGGAGCTTAAGTTTGGGAAAATGATCGGTGAAGACCCTAAACTTACCCTTGCCAAGGTCCATTTCTCTCCCCATTCTTCTCTACAGTTGTTTGTGCAAGTAGTGTTGTTTGAAGTTGCTATGTATCTTACTCATAAAACTAAACAGATAACTTGTTGAAAAGATACCGATTCTGTGGTAAAAAGAACACAATTCGATTCTAAAAATAACTAGCTTTTCACATTTTAGTTGAATTTTGAAGGCAGAAGTAGAATTCCAAAGGGAAATTGATTTGGTTTTTGTTCAAAGTTTAGAACTGATACGACTAGTTCGGATTTTTTTTTTTTAATGGAAAATAGCATGTTGAATACCGAGAGATTATTATTCTATATGATGAGCTTTTTGAACATTATTTTTGTTGGATCCTAAAAATTGAATTAAGTCAAGTAGAACCCTAGTCATTTCATGTTATAAACTGAATCTTGAAGTGATTTATATTTCTTCAATTAATCTGAATTTGATAATTTGATGCTGTCATATCTTTTTGTTTTACAAAAAATATGAAGCAGTAATTACACTGCTAAGCTCCCTTTCACATTTTGATCTTTTTATGTGTATTTCCATTTTTTTTTTCAGATAATCGCTAGAAAATCACACCCAGAATTATCTTTCTTGGATATTGAGAAATTATACAATAAGAAAGGTCTTAAAGCCTTTAATGACATAGAGGAGGTCCCATTTGATGTATCTGATATTCGAAGAAAGCCCAACGATTCACTTGATGGGCCAAAGTTAACCCGACCCGTGCCCAAGGATCCACCCGATGGACTAAACTTGACCCGACCCGTATCTGCTCCCAAGAATTCACTCGATGGACTAAATTTGACCCGACCCGTACCCAAGAAAGGAGTCAAATTTGAATCAAATGATAAGCCTGTATCTGTAGTACCCAAAGTAAAGAAACCAAACCAAATGTTAGAAAAAGTTGTGAGTAATCCTACAGAAAGTGTCCCAAATGTTGAATTAAGAAAACCAATTACTTTTAAAGATGATGATTCGACATCAATGTTACAGAGACCAAATTTCTCATTTAAGATGAGTAAAGAACAGGAGAAAGAAAGGTTGACTGATTTGACAATGGTGAGGAAACCTGAACCCTTTCTGCAAAAAGAAGAAACAGAAGCTATGGAAGATGATACAGAGAGTTTAAGTGTCATCCAAACGGATGTTACACTCTCACAGAAGCCTGAAATCACAGTGGATCAAATTAAGGATCAGAACGAGGTAAATTCTGAAGTTGATGACATCAAGAACAGTTCAACAAGTGTTGATTTAAGTGTAATCCAAACGGATGTTACACTCCTACAGAAGCCTGAAATCACAGTGGATCAAATTAAGGATCAGAATGAATCAAATTCTGAAATTGATGACATCAAGAACAGTTTAGCAAATGTCGATTTAGCTTTTGAGATGGAAAATGTGCAGAATAAGATTGATCAGGAGAGTGATGATGTAACAGGTAAAACAACCGTATCAAACATGTGACTTGTTTGTGAGGATTTATGAGTTTTTTGCGCTTATGAAAGTTTTACAGATGAATTTTACATACTGTTTTATGTTCTTGTGTTTCACCATTGATATAGCAGCTACTTCGAGCATGCAAATGTCTCTGGATACTGCATTGAGAGGACCACCTAAAAGGTAAAAAACTGTGTTTCTTTTTAATTTGTTTATTATATAGTAACTCGAATCACACATCCCGAAATTAAAAATTAATGTTTCTTCTTTCAAATCTATGGTTTCTTATGGTTGATGTGTTATAGATTAGATCAATCTGTAAAAGATACATCAAAGATCGAGAGAGTAGTTACGGGTCCCACGAATCCAATACCATATGATAACACTCTCGAGACTGAAAACTTGCCTACAACACCATTCTTAAAGGTATTATTCACCGATTTTCTTCTATATTCACCACATTGGTGATAAAATTATAGATAAGTAGAATGATAAACGATAGTTATTGATATTGACTGATTTTATATAATAGGAGCGTGAAGATAACGATTGGAAAAGAGCTGAAAATTTGATCAAGACAGAAGGAAGAGAAGAAGTGGAACTCATAAACTCTAGCACTCGGGGTTTTGTTGTAAGCGTCAAAGTTTTTCTTCCCAATTTACCCTCATGGTGATTTTACCTTTTTACCCTTGTTGTACAGGCATCTTTCGGATCTCTAATAGGGTTTTTGCCTTACCGAAATCTTGCGACTAAGTGGAAGTATTTAGCTTTTGAATCATGGTTGAGGAAGAAAGGATTGGATCCTGCAATGTTCAGGAAAAATCTGGGTGTTATTGGAGGATATGATGCGACAAACAACGCATTACCAATATCAACCATAGATCCTAAAAAGATGGAGGGTGAAATATCACCTGATATGAAACTTGAGGACCTTCTTGCAATTTATGACCAAGAAAAACTCAAATACTTGTCTTCGTTTGTTGGTCAGGTTTGAATTGTTCATCTTCTTAACAAACATTGCTTTTAATGTTTAGAAACGATTTGAAGATGTTTGACTTTTGCAGAAAGTCAAAGTCAACGTGGTCTTGGCTGATAGAGGATCGAACAAGCTAATATTTTCTGCAAAACCGAAAGAGAAAGATGAATCGGTTGAAAGAAAGCGAAGTCTCATGGTGAGATTTTTATCTTATTTAAAATATGATTTTTCATTATTATTATTATTATTTTAATATTTTCTACTCTTGTAGGCTAAGCTTAGCGTTGGAGACATTGTAAAGTGTTGCATAAAAAAGATTACTTACTATGGGATTTTCGTTGAGGTATTATTATAATTTTGTTTTTATCTTATCGAAAGTAAAATATTTTTTGCCCATGATTAAAAGACGTAATTGCCCTTGTAGGTGGATGGAGTACCTGCATTGATTCACCAGACTGAAGTGTCATGGGATGATACTTTGGACCCGATTTCCTATTTTAAAATTGGACAGGTGTGATTCGTGTTATATAATATAAACATGTTAAATATTAATTGGATTATTTTATAATTTTTTTTATACTTTTCTCGATAATTATAATCTCTTATTTTTAGGTCATTGAAGCAAAGGTTCATCAGTTAGATTTTTCACTCGAACGTATATTCTTATCGTTGAAGGACATTACGGTAATTTATCTTCCAAGTTTCATATATATTTAATTATCTATGTACAGATATTTTTAATTTTATCCATAAAAAATGGATAAAAATTACAATTTTATCCTTGTCTTGTGGCAGCCAGATCCATTGATCGAGGCTTTGGAGGCTGTTGTTGGTGATCAAGCAAACTTGGATGGACAATTAGAAGCAGCCCAATCCGATGAAGAGGTTGTTTTTTTTGACATTATATTAAAAAACATTTTCTTGATTAATTATTGGTAAAAAATCGGCTTATTTTTGTGTAATGTACAAAAAAAAAATTATACAGTGGCCCGAAGTTGAATCGCTTGTAAAAGAACTGCAGCAATACAAAGGCATTGAGAATGTGAAAAAAGGCCGGTTTTTTGTGGGCCCCGGTTTGGCCCCAACTTTTCAGGTATTCCTCTTGCAATATTAAAATTTTTAATTTTTTTTTTTTTATATAAAATATGTCGAGGTTTCTCGATTGTTTTATGAATTGTATTATTTGTGGGCAGGTTTATATGGCGTCTGTGCTTGAAAACGAGTATAAATTGCTTGCAAGAGCTGGAAACAAAGTACAAGAGGTGATAAAAATGATATTTACAACTTAACGATACGCTAGTAAATAAATTGTATTTATTTATTTATGTTTATGAGCAGGTGATTGTTGAGACATCGATGGGAAAAGAAGAGATGAAATCTGCGATTCTAATATGTGCGAGTAGAGTTGAATGATGGGTTTTTTTGTATAGTTTTGTTTTATGATTTATTTTATGTTGAATTGAAGCCATTGAATGTGTTGATATCGTTTATTAAGGTCAAGTGTAGTATTTGTTCTTATTGGTGTTAATTATGGCATGTATGAGCATTAAAAGAACATGCATAATAAGATGATAGAAATTGAAATGATATGCATTATGCAATGAAACCTAAAAATGAATGTAAAACAAATAATTATTTATATTCAAAAGATCAATGATACACATTTTTGAATTAGAGTCTCTTAGGAAACATAAGATTATGAATCGAACCTCAACAAACCCCTAGTGCATGTTTATGGAATCATTATAATGGATGAATTGCCCTCCAATGTATTATTAATTTTCCAAGATTTTATCTTTTTAAATTTAATAGGTTCTTGATTTGATGATGTCTAAACTCATCTCACCAACGTCTGTTGCTTGGAGCTCGAATTGGATCCCATCTAGCTCTCTTTTAAACCTATCCTTAGAGCTTGCATATATCATCTTACTTCTCACCCTTGATGAATCTGGAGACCTGATTAATCACAAACATTTTGATTTTATAAGTCTTATCCGTAAAATGTAAGCTCATGGGTCCCAAGTTCCATAGGTATGAATCTCACATTGAGCAAAGAAGGTGATACAAAATGTTAGTATATGTTAGTGGAAGTTAAAAATGAGGGGTGTGTACTTACCAAGCAAAAAAGAAAATTTTGCTTTTTTGGCAATTCTCTTTGGTGACAAAATCTAAGTCGAAGACAGCATAGCGACATTCATTGCTAGGCAAGTTGTTCAAAAGATCATTATAACTTTCATTTGGTTGGCCTAATTTCTCCACAACAACTTGATGTGATTTGTCTTCGATCTTGAAAACTATGAATCGATAGTTTCTCTTTTTCAATTCCAAAAACTTTAGCTTGCACTCATCATTCACAGCCATTCCAGATGCTGCGTTAGCCTATACATATTCAATGAACATCACTAATAAGATTGTTGTATTTTAAAATGTATGTTTGTGTTATTTATTCAGAACAACCCTAAAGTGCTACTTGTATCCCATCTAATAACATAATTTGCTACAATTTAATAGAAAAAACAGAGTAGTTCATTTTTCTGATACATCATTTAGTCTGATCTATGTATTACGTATGAAAAGACATAAAATATTGTTTGTATGTGTGTGTGTATGTGTGTGTGTGTGTGTGTGTGTGTGTGAGAGAGAGAGAGAGAGAGAGAGAGAGAGAGAGAGAGAGAGAGAGAGAGAGAGAGATACCATGATTTCCACGAAGGAGAACCGGTAAAGATATTTGATCTTTGGAATATAATTTATTTAAGGGTGAAAAGATGATAGGATTGGAGGGCAATGAAGTACGAGTGACAAGTATGGTATTTAAATACACAAATTGGTCTTTTAGATCCTTATTTTGAGGATCAAATCAAAGGTTTGTGTTTGATTTGTGAAAAAATAACACCGAACAATTCTCATAACCAGTGAACATAAATTGGGTTTTTTGTTGCTTCCATGAACCTTGGAAATATGAGTTTTTCAAAATTTGATTTTCTAACGTTGAATTATACATCTTTTATACAGTTTCATATATAGAGAAATATAAAATATTAGTCTTTTTTGTTTAGCCATAAAAATAAGATATTTGGATATGATAGGAAGAATTTAAGTTGATGTTGATCAACATGCATGGTTTGATCTTGGAGTCTTTAGTCTTCTTTATGTTCATAAATATATGTTTTCATGATGGTCTTGGATCGATTTTTTATGGGTACGTAGTCGATATATATAGATATTTTTCTAATTAAGCATAGAATACAAGTTAGGTGTTGTTTGTTTTTTTCTAAAGCAAAATGTCTGCAGTCTGCGGACCATATCTGTAGAGCTCTGTAGTAAAAGAGGTAGACCAAACGTCTGCAGTCTGAAAAAAGAAGACTGTTTGTATTTTTAACATCTGCAGGCTACTAAAATAAACTAATATCTAAATAAACTGGTTTTTTTTAAACTTCAAAGTGATTTTTTAATATTTTTATGATTTTCTTATAAATAATTAACAAATCTAGATCAACTTTTATGTATTATTGTATAAAAAGTGAAAATAAAAATGGTACGAATTAATATATATATTTGATAAAAACCAACAATTTTGGTCGCAAAGTTATATCTAAACATTGTAATTGGGAATCACAGAATTTGATACATAAATGAATGGAAATAAACTTCGATTTTTTCAATTAAATTTAAAAACGTACCATAAATATATTTTCTCAAGAAATTGACGATATTATATTAAATAATGTTTTATAAAATTTGGCACAAAAAATATAACAATATATTATTATTATTTTGTTCATATTTATATAAACAACTTCAACGGTCATTATTATAATAAATCTTTATTTATACATTTGTCAAAAATATCATGTTTGTGTCGTCGAACATTTTTTCTAAGTATTTTATCTTTTTTTTTTTTCAAATTGTTTATCATTAATAAAGTTGGAATAAAAATAAATTAAAAAAAACTAAAAAAATAAAGACATATGTGTTTTTTAGGCTAGAAGATGTCTGAAGATGTTAGAAGACTCTGGTCCACATCTGCGCCAAGAAGAGGGCGGGCAAACATTTTTAGGTCTGCAGTCTTCAAAAAAACAAACAGTCTGCAAAGGCTAATGTCTGCGCGGCGCAGACAGAAGAGGTCAAGAAGATCTGCAGACAAAAAACAAACAACACCTTACTTTCTCTGCCATGTGATATTGTAATATATTTACTTTAGGGAAGTTTTCGATTTCCGATTATTTATTTGTATATTAACATAATTACAGTTTATAGTAGACATATCACATAAGAAGTTTTAGATTTTTTTATTGGTGATGGTATTCTGATGTGGTAACATGACCACATTTAACTTATGTATAGCTCTTTGGACATTAATTTTTCAATATGTATTTACCAAAATAAAATAGAATTATCTTGTTAGTCCGCTTTTTGTAGGGTGTGCATTTTTTAAAAATTACAGATTGAAACTTAAAGAACAACAAGTTTTAAAAGACAAAATGGTGGATTAAGAACTTTAACAACTAACAAGATGATCAACTTTTACAGAATTGAACTAGATGAAGAGTCGAAAAAATGATAGAGAAAACCTTAATATGTTGTTTCTCTCACACATACTTCTCTAGGACGAGAACAAAATATATATTGGGTGTGAGTGCGCACATAAATATGATAATACATGTCCACACCAATATGAAACTCATATTCAACAACACAATTTACTTCACTGTCGAGTTTACAATGTTGCAAAATAATTCATTAGCATGGCATTCAGATTATCCTTGTTATGTTTATTATATGATGAGTACAGTTGTATAATTATGTATCATAACACTTGTCATAATGACATTTCAGGTACCTAGACTTAAGTATGTATAATATGTTGCATATAACATATGTCTATAACTCGAGGGACTACTTTTGTGTGTGGTTCTAAAACTTTCCCATAAGGTGTAATTGGTAAATAAAACATACACGTAAAGAGGGTGTGCGTTTCAATGGAGAGGTTAACGTTCACTCCTTTCACATTTTAAATTCTTTCTAAAACACCATTATCATGTATGTGATTCATCTATCATTGTAACACCCATTTTCCATAATGGATCAGTGTAGTGCATTAAGGAGTCAGATGCATGATTTTCGGGAAAAACTATGAGTCATGATATGCCCATAAGGAGGTCACGACGTGACAAGTCAAGCTTGAGAACGCGTATCCAAAGGCTAGTCACGACATGGCATGTGAGCTTATTCTTGGAGTTTTGGTGTCCTTGGAAGGAATAAGAAGACCCTTGTGGTGTAGAAAACCTCTTGGCAAGCTTCGAGTTTGATTTTGAGACATTTCTGGACCATTATAAGTATTCAAGATCCAAACTTTATGATGTTAGCTTCCATATCTAGGCTATTTGTTCCTTTTTCATCATATTGTGGAAGTTTGGATGGGAGGATTCCATAAAGTTAGCAACTTTATGGGTCCTTATGGTCCCTTGAAGGTTGTGTTTCATGGATCTGAGGTTTGGCTGAGTTTTGATGTCATTCATGTGAGTGTGGTTCCTTTTCTTCATCATTTTGGCCTTTTATGAGATCAAGACATGTATTGGACATGTATGTATATAAAGCATCAATTTTTAGGATGTTTTGGAGTAACAAGGCCCTCTGGAAGTTAGAATGGATGGATTTAAGGATGTTACAATCATAATCGATCAGTCACACCATTACGGAAAGTGAAAGATTTTGTAATGTGAAATCGTCATCTTTACATCAATGGGATATCATATTCTCCAGTTAAGTGTTATTTAATCGGTTTAGGGTTATTCATGTTTATGCATAAGTTGATCTTGGATTATGCCTATTAAACCAATGCATGACTCCACACTTATACTCCATTGCATCCTTATTGTACTTCTATACGTGTTCAAGACTCTTTAATCTTTACCACTTTTAGTCCTTTGAGAAGGCTTATTGACGAAATTATCTCAAACTATCAACCATACATTTCCTTCAATACAACTAGATTAAGTTATAATATCAAGTATGGGATGTTAAGATTGTAATTTTGGAAGTAATTATGATTCGGTTGAAGATCTTGAGATTGTGTTGTGTTTGTTACTATTATTTGAGAAGATAGGCTCACTTAGGTTGTGACATCCCCATTTTCACTTTTATAAAAAGACCAATTTAATTATTCCTATTTAATTCAGAGTATTCTTTTGAAAATATTATTTATACGGAATTTGTCCCATAACGTGGTAATTATATTACGAATTGTTTTCGAAGAAATGTGTTTTATTAAAACCTTAGGATGTCATCGTTAATATATAAACATAAGCATAATGAAATATTATAGGCCTTATAATAATTAAATTAGTGGCCTAATACTCCTAGAATCTCTCAACAAAATGTATCTTTTAAATCGCTACCTTTAATATAATAAACTGAGTGGGTCAGGTTGGGAAACATGGTGAGTACATAGGGTTTCAACCCACAATAATATAGTTAATATGTTTAATTATTAAACAATTAACCCAATTTCCCATCCCCATTATCTTATTTATTCTTAAGGGTCTATCCTAAGGATCATCTATGCTGACAATACTAGTTCAAGGATTCCTCCGTGATACTTGTCAGAAGGTTTTCTTTTATATTCATTCTTAAGGATCATTTTCTTTATTGACAATATTATTTTAGGGAATCCACCCACAATACATGAAAATAGGTTTTAGAGTACATTTGGTGAACGCATAGTTCAAAAACACCTACAGGTTGTGAGTCTGCTAGCGTTCCACTGGACTGCCTAGAATAGTCCGTGGTTGTCATCTATACGCTGCTAGATGAGTACATCGTCTAGTACTGAAGTACAAGTAAGTCAAGACCTATTATCGTTTTCATCTTTCATCTCCTATCTCCCTCTCAATTATATTTAACCTGTTAGCCTATGTGTAGTTAGCCCACTTGTTTATGGGCCCTTTAGCCTTTAGCCCATTAGGGTTTGGTATCTTAGCTAGTATTTATTCTCCTCTTTCTTGTTCTTAGCTTTCATACTTTTCATATAGAACACTTGTAACTTTTCTCTCTCAATAATCATATGGCTCAATTATCATGGTATCAGAGCGGAGGTTTGATATGTTAGAAGGCTTTCTAGCAGTCATCTGTGGCGCGGATCGACATTCATTACTAGGCAAGCTGTTCTAAAGATCATTATAATTTTCACTTGGCCGACCTAGTTTCTCCACAACAACTTCTTGTGTTTTGCCTTCGATCTTGAAAACTATGAGTCAATAGTTTCTCTTTTTCAATTCCAAGAACTTTAGCTTGCACTCATCATTCATAGCAATACCGGATGCCACTTTAGTATACTCATCATTCATAGCAATACCGGATGCCGCTTTAGCATACACATAATTAGTAAACATTATTAGGAGTACATTAGAGGATGTGTGAGTTATTTTTTAGTAATAAAAAGAAGGGTTATTAGCATAAAAACCCTACAAAGTTTTACACTTGTCCTTAGTTGGTCACTTAACTTTTTTTCACCCTCTAAGATCATTTAACTTTGATGATATATTTTTTGTTAGAGGATTCGGTTAAATTCCAAATGTTTAGAACGTTGTCTAGCTGATGTGGAGGTTTTTCCTACTTATTCCTTCCACCTCATCAAATCCACGTGGATTTATCAACTGAATTGGAAGCTAGGTAATATGTAGAGTTTTTCCTACCGCATCCCCTCTTCTTTCTCTCTCCCGTTTATACACATCTCTCAAATTGTTATCTTTTTTCAGCAATGACCAGATCTTAACTTCTTCGAT